GTATTGTTAAGGAAAGTGTATAGACTTTATTATCATAAAAACAAAAAGTTTTTTGAGAACATCTGTTTTTTGGGTTGACAAAAGGATCAGCGGAAAGAGTTTTTTTTTATTACTATTATTATTACTATTATTAATTAATAACTATTATATCTAATTAACTATTAAAAAAATATATTATTATTATTATATACTTTAAACAATAGTTTGATTATTTTAAGAAATATTATTATATTTTAAAAAAGTAAAATTATAAAAATAATATATTTTAATATATATATATATATATTTTAAAGTAAATAAACATTATTTCTTTATTTTATTTGTATATAACAATGTATACATTATGAAAGAAACAATATATCTTATATGTTAATACAATGAGTTAAATGCTAGCTTATCTACAGTAATCATATGACTAATATTGAAAAAAAAGTTTAAAATAATATATCTTGTTATGTGGCACCAAGCAGCTATAAATACCTATTTAGTATTAAGGGAAATAATATTTGGAAGAGATAAAATTAATTTTTAAATATATTTGTTATAATTATAGTTACATTGAATAAAAGAATTAGTAACAATTGTCAGTAAGTCTATGATGATTTTATTTTGAATATTATTGGAGTGTGAGCTTTTGCTAAAAGCAGTGTAATTTCTTTTTGGTTTGACTAGGTTGGTGGTATTCAGTAATTTGTTTGATTTCTATTTGATACTTGTAAGAGATAAGATTTGGCAATGTTGCATTGTAATTTCTATATTGAGTTATATAATTGGATTAGGGATTAAGTTAATGTCATAATCCAGTTGGTGGTGTCTGTTGTAGAAAAGATTCTATCAGTTATACCACATGATAGTTTTACAACTTGTCATATATAAGAAATTAGTTTGAGATTGTTATCTGGATGGAGAATTTGATTAATGTTGTTTATAATTTGATTGGCCTTTTCTAAGGCTTCAGGACACTTGAAAATATGCTGGATATCTTCAGTGCAGAGTTTGCATCTTGAACAATATCTATTTGGATATTGATCAGGGTGATATTGATGAAGTGTTTGATGAGTTAGGAGTTTTCCTGAGAGGAGTTTAATTTTGAACACTATTAGGTTGTTATAGCTATTGTTGTATGTCTTTTTGATATTTTATTGGATTAATTGATGATTTTTAAACTGTATGGAGTATAATGTTGTTCAAAAGTTTAAAGAACTGATATGCTTTTACAGATCATATAATTTCCGATAATATTAAAAATTTTTTTGCACCACCTGACACTGTTACCTAAATATATATTGTTGATTGGGAGACTTTCTGAAAAGTATAATGGATAGTTACTTTATTAAATTATCTTGTTTGTAAATAGTTTAGACTTAGGTTTGGTATATATAACTTTTATTAATTTCTGTTTTAGGACTTGATTTATTTTCTGGATTAGAAAAGAAAAATTAATTTTGATCATTCTTTTCAGATAAGTTGATATTAGTTAAAGAATTTTTTTGTTATTTCTGATTTCAATAGTATTGCACTGAGAGCTTCACTGAATGATATAGAGTATTGCTAGTAGAATATTACCAAGAGTTAGACAAGTACTAGAAAGTTCTATTTTGCACTTGTTGATAATTAAATAGCTTTTGTGAGATTAGATATGGTAGTATTGGTAATGTTCCACTTCTTGAAATAATGCTCTGAGAGATGAGTTGTTGTTAATATTAATTAATTGGAGAATTTGTTCACTTCTGTGTAGTAAGTTGATAATTTCATTGATAATATTTAGTAGTCAGTATTTGTTAATATTGAATGGATTAAGGGATATTCATAAAGTTGATACTGTTGAGCTTGTGAATATTATCCAGCAAAAGCTGTAAGATTGTGTACTGGCTGGCATTCTGGACATCTGAAAAGGTTATTAGTTGGATCTATTATAAAGTGCTTTCTCTTAAGCATCATTCCTTCTTATACTAATGATTATCTCTTATAGATCTTAACTATTGTGTTTGAATTATGTATAAACCAAAATATTGCTCTGGAATTTGGTATTGGACTATGTGATCCTATGAGATTCTCATTATTTGCAAAGATTATATATTTAGATATCTTTTGTATTCTAAGTATTTTTTGTATTATAATTAATTTTTTATATTTTTTTCTTATATATTTTATATTTTATTTTTATTTATTTTTTAAAGTTTTATTATATATAAATTTAAATAGGTATTTATAATTGCTTGATACTATTTTTGGATATATATTAATTTTAACAATTTTTTTCTTTATTATTTGAATAATTTATTATAAATAAATTAATATTAAACTTATTAATCAATTGATAATAATAATATTTTCTTTATATATAATTTTTTTTATATTTTTACAAATAATAAAGCAATGATATTATCTATTTTTTTTTTAAAAAAAAAGTTTTATTAAAATTTTTATTTTTTGTTTAATTAAAAAATTATTGCAAAAATTTATTATAAAATAAGTAAATTTTATAACAAGTTTATAAATAATATATAATAAAATATAAAAAATCCAAAAATTATTGAGCTTATATTTTTATTAAAAAATCCCTATAAAATTATTTAAATATTATAAAACTCTATTAATATATTGTATTTTTATGATGTTGAATAAAAATTGCATACTTTTTATTGATTTGATTATTAATTCTATTGAAAATTTTAAAGTTAAAGAATTTTTTTTTTTAAAAAAAACAATTAAATATATCACTAAATAATTTTTTTAAAATTATTATTAATTTTATGAAGTTAATCAATAACAAATTTTTTTTTTGTTTTACAATAAATAATATATATATATATATATATAATTTTTTTAAAGGAATTAAATTTTTTTAAAAAAATTTTTAATTAATTTTATTCTAATAATATACATGAATTCAATTTTTGAAATGTTAGAAATAAAATTAAAAAAAATTATACTATATATCAATATATACAACTTATAATTGAAAAAAAGAAAAAAAAAAAAGAAGTTTTTTAAGTCGTTAACGTGATAGCAATCCATTTACGTTGTGACGATTCTCGAAATCGTACATTTAATTATGCGTATTACGAAACGTGTACCTTACCAGTTACACTAGGTACAAATTTTTTATTGCGATTATCTTTGGGGGCAAAATGCAACTCGTTCGGAAATGACACCGTCAAGAGTTGGCTTCAGCTTGATTACCCTCAAAAAGCCAATGCAACATTCACTACTGAGTAAATGCTGTTGGAAACATTTAAAACGTACGCTTGAATTACCGTTCAGTGCACCATATTTTAAATCCGTTCGTGGACGTTACCAACAAGATAGGCCCGCACACTCCGGGAAAACACTCTTTTCGGTTAGAAAGTCTGGAAGAATGCATCATGCGTCCAATAAAAATCACACCACCATATCCTTTGGACAAGGTGAACGTGACCCCGCGATTTCCATGATGTTGAAAGCAGAAAATATATTAGAGGAGCATCACATAATTAATGAAATATCAAAAGCCGAATTTGTCAATTACTTAAGAACGTTGTCTACAAAGAAGCCCGAGAAATCACTTGTTGAACAAGATAGCTTTCTAGTCAAGAATGTCAACTCAGGGAATGTGGATCAAGCTTGGGATTATTACACGAAAAAAGAAGAGGATGGACTTTTGGCGAATTTGCCTCTCAAATTTAAAATCCACCTGTTGTATTATTTAATAAAGTTATCAAGATTAGAAGAAGCAAGGAAGATAATCTCTCACTTGAAGACAAGAAAAAATGATAGATGGTTAGAAAATTATTTGCTAATCATGGAATGCCTGGCGACCCTTAATTTAAATGAGGCAATCAAACTGTTCAAGGATCTCATGATAGGAAAGGAGGATTTGCCCAGATTTAAAGTGTTGTCTAGCTTGATATTGGCACTTTTGAGCAAAGAGGATATCAGGGGAATGGAAGAACTGTTGTTTACCGTAGAACGGTATTTTGATAAGCCGTTACCCGTGGAAATATATAATACAGCGATGTCCGGATATGTCAAGGGAAAGTGCTATGAGAGAGCGTGCTGGTTGTTGGAGAAAATGGGACAGAAAAACGTGGCACCTAGTCGAGTTACTTATAATATATTATTAAAAATTTGCGCAGGGATGGGTAACGGTGAAGAAGCAATAAATCTGTTCAATGAAATGTCACGTACAAAAAAAATCGCACCAAACGCCAGGACGTATTCTGGTCTCTTTGAAACGTTTGGGAGAGCGAGAAGTACGAATTTGTGCAACTACTATTTCAATCGCATGATGTCCATGGGAGTGAAACCCAATTGCTATACATATGGAATCTTGATCGCTGCTTACGCGCGGTCAAAAAGATATAAAGAGGCGAGTCAATGGTTTCGTCGCATGGTAAAATCTAACGTGCCACCAACGTTGGTCACCTACACCAGTTTGCTGGTCGCGTGGACGATACAAGTGCGATACGATGCGCGAATCGTGGATAGGATCTTCGAGGACATCAAAAGATCCGGGGTTAATCTGGATGTCGTGGCATATACAGCGTTTATTCACGCTAAGGCAAAAACCCTCAATCTCGTCGACGCAATCCGAATTTACCAGGAAATGTTGAAAAATAACATAAAACCAAACGTGTATACCTATACCGTTCTAATCTCCGCTTCTGCAAAATTAGGAGATCTGAACACTTGTTTGCGTCTATTCGAGGACATGAAAAACGCAGGTATCCAACCTAATGCATACACGTACTGTTCCATCATGGACGCCTATGCCAAAAATCGAATGCTCCCAAAAGCTTTCGAAATTCATGATGAAATGTTGGCACGGGGAATTCAACCCGATACAACGTGTATCAACTGTTTGATGGATGCTTGCAACAGGGAACGACAAATTGATCGAGTATTTGAATTGTACAATAGATTGCTTACAGATCCCAACCTTAAGCCTGATGAATATAGTATTACAATTTTCCTTGATTCTTGTACGTTTAACGACCGTGCCGCCGACGGCAAGATATTCTTTGCCAACTTGGTGAAAAACTATAAAGAGATTTCTGAACGCAATTTTTATGCATATATCAACTTGTTAGGCATTAACAATTACAATAATGAAATTTTAGATGTAATAAAATTGATGAAGGAAAGACGTGTTACACCAACAAGAATGACTTTAATGTGTGCCTTGCACTACATTCGAAAAATTAATCGGAGCGAGAATGAAATTTATGAAATCAAGCAACTTCTTGTTAATTGGGTTGACAAATGCGTCTTTCCCCGTAATATAGACATGTTGAATTTTGAAAGATCACACCGATTCTAATATATTAATTAATTTCATGTTCTTTCTTATTTAACCATTGTATTTCTTGTCAATAAAAGGATCATCCTGATTTGTTTAGTCCCTTGTTGTTCTTTTATTGTCACCCAAGTAATGCATGACCGAAGTATATCCGTTGGCCAAGGCGTAATATTTTAATATTCCCGTGGCCGGGAGACCTTTCTTCTTGCGACAAAATGAGCAGTTGCACACTCCACGGCATTTTGGGCAATTCCATTCGCCCGATTTACGCGCATCTTCCAATGTTTCACCATACCTATACGATATTTTTGCGCGATAAAAGGAATAAATATATTCTTATTATGCACGTATGAATTAAAAGTAGGAATTACGAGTCATCCTTCAGATCACAACACTCACCTCCCAATGAGACAACGTTCGTCCATCATCACTTTACAAAGAGAACCATTTTCAAGTGCATTCTGAGGCGAGAGGTTTTCGATGAATGATTTATTTGTTTTCACGAGTTTGTTAGTGGAACTAAAAAATATACAAACTTACGGTACACTGAACTTTCTCTTCGATAGTCTTTTGACGACATTGGTGGCACGTGGTTCCGAGCTCAGAGTCGTAAACCCTACCGCCGTAAACTCTACGTCCTTGGGTGTTTCGGCCAGTAGACTGTTAATTCATTTTTCATTCATAAATTCGCGATACTATTTTTAGTGCAGAGAAGGCGCACAGAGGCTAAATCATACTTGGTTACCTTTGTGCGACTAACCTTTCGTTTATAACTGCGAGGAACACGTGGCGTATAATTTTTGACGCGTAAATCATAGCGAGGAACCTGGTGAATGTATGCATTATATTAAATCAGGATATAATGAAGTAGACTATATTTCGTCAATCGCGTGCCATCGGAATTTTAAATTATATTTTTACCATTTTCTGAATGCGCGGGCTTCGACGCGTTGGTTGTTGTCTTTGAACAGCTTTCTCCACGACTTCTTGAGCTGTCACCTGCAATTCCCTCTTTGGTTTCACCCTTTGAGGTTTCAGCTGCTGCAGGAACTTTTCATCCAAGCCTAACTTTGCCAATATGGCCCGATTTTGCTCAATTCGTTCACGTCGTTCTCTTTCATAGTCTTCGCCGACCTTTCACGTTTCGTGTGTTCCCAAGTTTTTTATTTATTAGGCTTGTTTCAATGAATCAGATAAAATCATTTCAATAGAAAAGTCAACTTACCGCGAATTTTACGAGTTCTTCTACTTCTTGCTTAACCCTTAACATTTTTCAAAGCAAAGATAACAATTCAGCGGGTAAACAGTTTCATCGAGAGGTTTAATCAATTACTATTACCGCGTTAGATTACTGTTTGTTTTTCTTAATAAATCACGTGATTTTCACGGTGATGCAAAATTCAATTTGAATTCGGATTCCTTGCAAATCACAAATCCTTTTTGACCGTGTAAATTATATTTTCACGATGCCACCAAAAAGTCATAGCAAACGCAATAAGCCTAATCGTGGCGGGGGTCATCGATTTACAAGTCAAAGACACCTCACGAACAGGGATGGCGAAGAGGGTGATTTATGGGGGGTAAATTTACCGTTAATTATTTATAAAAAACGACCCAAGTGGTTAGCCTATACTCAATGACCACAGGATATCTATTTCTCTTTTCTTTTTCTTTAGTATCGAGAGAAAAAGGAGGACGTAGAGGACTCTGAGAGTGAAAGTGAACGTGAGAGTGAAAGTGAAGAGCAGACAAGCAAATTATCGAATGCATCAACATCAAAATCAAAATCAACAGAGCTTGATGCCGAAGACGAGGAGGAGGAGGAAGAAGAAGAGGGAGCTGTATGTAAAAAAAAAAAAGAAAACACACCTTTGACTTTTGTTATCTACATAAACTCGTATTGATTCCTGGTGAACGGCGCAGGTAATTGAAATAGAAAATCCGAACAGAGGCAAAAAAGATAATTTAAAGGTATCCGATATTTCAAATACACCTAGAGAGATGACCCGAAGGGAAAGGTATGTCTCATCATATGACGTATTTAATATTTAAATTTTTTTGAATTGATAGCTATATTATCTTTTCTTTAGGGAAGCTGCCGAGAAAGAAGCCGCTAGGCAACGATACTGGAAGCTCCACCTGGAAGGTAAAACGGATCAAGCAAAGGCGGATTTAGCGCGTTTAGCGATTATAAAGAAACAGCGAGAAGAGGCAGCCATACAGAGAAAAGCTGAGGCTGAAGGTCTGTGATTTAACCTCATAGATCTGATTGGATTAGCTCGGTTACTTACTCTATTATTTTTTTTTACCATGAAACCTTTTAGCCAAAGCTGAGGCACAGAAAGCAAAACTGGAAAGAGAAGGTCGAAAAACTAGGAAATAGGTCTTTTGCCTACATACAATTGGAATGTGACAATTATTTATTACTATTTTCCTTTTTACAAAAAAAGTTTCTATATTGACGTGCATTAATACCTTATAGAAAGATTTTTAAACAATTGATTTTTACCATAAATACACATTTACTTGGATAATATCTAAGTTACGCTTATCTTCCTTTTATTTCTACTTTTTATATATATATAAAAAAACAAAGCTAAATATTACAGAAAAATTGTAATTTACACAATCGACAGAGCAAATATAAATATATTTGAAGAGATTCAAATAAATGGTGTTCAAGGAGATTTTGGATTGCTCTAACATTCAAAAGCGTAAATAAAATAATAGTGCGTATCATTAAATAAGTAAATTCCTAATTGTAACAGCTGACCATAAAGAAAAAAAGATCTGTTATCTAATTAATAACAACATATTTACACGTTCAATTAAGCATGACTCTATAAATTGTTTATCTTTCAGATGAGATGTTTATGTCGATCTCGTCGTATCTTTGCAGGTTGGATTCGCCCTGCGCTCTAGCTGAAAGCACGGCTTCTTTACGTGCATGAAGATGAAACAATGTGGATTTAAACTGTCGGACTACGAATTCTGAAAGTTCACCTTCTGGTTCTACAAGAGTCGACGAAGCAGATGTTGGGGGATGTTGATCGGGGTTGTCCATATTTATAAGGTTGGTGTTGATAAGGTCAATTAAACCATTAAGATATTTAACAGTGACCTAGATTATATTAAATTTGAATTTAATCATTGACAAGATCGTAGACACAAAAATATCATCACCGAGTGGAAGAAAACTTACGGCTTCGTTCTTCTTTTCAAAGTAATATATGTATCGATTTAAGATTTCTATAAACAGTTCCACATTCGTCACAGAATCCATACAAGAGTCTGCTATTTTGAGAGCTTTTTGCAAGCACTCGAGTACTCGTTTACCATCACGATAAAGCTCCTGAAATTTGAGATTTGAATAGAACGTTAAGACCTCGCCTCGTAGTCACAAAGCATCGAGTGATGTATTATTATTTTAATAATCTAACTTATATCGATTACCTCTCCTGACTTGTGTATTCCTCCTTCGGTTTCGGTAGCCCACCACAAGTGGCTGGAAAGATAAACAGCACGACATTGATCCGGCTTTTTGAGCAATTTACTACCGTGTAAAGCACACTTGGTGATCAACGTGTCGTAATTTTCAGGACCAAACACATGAGTAGTTTGTAAGGTGCCTATGATAAGGGTAACAGCTTGAAATTGTGCACGAGACTCGGAGATAGACTCTTCGTAAATGGTGAATGCCTACAAAATTCAACAACAGTTGATTATTTAATAAAAAACCGAATTATAATGGATGTACCGAGTTGAAAAGAAGGCATACCTGTACAAAGAATTCGTAACACATTTCTTCGAACCCACACTCGTTGGCACTTTGCCCCGCGAGCAGAAACAATCGCAAACATATATCGGAACATTCAACTTTATTATAAAGCATAGAAATAACTTGGTGAATGAACCGGAAAAGCCTGGAAATCTTCTTTTCCCAGCTATCGTCCTTCAATAAAATAGTATCATCAATGAATGTCATAATGAATTTATTATCTCTACAGAATAACGTTGAAAATAACGCCTACATGTTCTTCGAGTTTTTGATAAACTCTTGCTAACTTAAATGCCGAAATTACAAGGGGCGGGAATGTGTATCTTATTCTTTCTCCACCTTCAACAAATTGTTTGCGAGCCGTAGAAAGAAGCTAATTAAATATATAAAGAAATTAGCCTATTATGGAAGAATTCACCACCACTCCTGTATTTAATAATTTTTGCATACCATGAATTGATTTTCTGGATCATCACTTCTAAACAGATGAATAATTCTTGCAAGCCATCCTTGTTCTTCGGCAAATTCTTCTGGATCCATCATTTGTGAAGTTCCGCCTGATCTTGTGCTCCTTCCGCTAGTTAGCCCACTAAATGGACTTGCGAGTGTCGCATCTTTTTGATCTCGAATGAGAACATTACACAGGTCTAAGATACCGTTAACCTCTTCAGGAGTCTCAATGAGTGTTTCTTTCTTAAGGATTGAGGAAACAATGGCGCGCGCAACGGTACGACGTGTTGGGAACGGTTGAAGGGAAATAAGTGAAGCATAATTAGGTAAGGCAAGAATTGTAAGTACTGTGAGGTAAGAGTTAATTGGAGCCAAGAGGAGGTTGAGTAAATTGGAGGTAGAGGCGGAGCTATGTAGGTCAGGACTTTAAACAGGAGTTTACATCTGTTAGATTCGGTAATTATAATTTCGAGATGTTCAGAACTTTTATCCGGTACCTGCTATGGAAATCCAAAACTTTTTGATGAGCAAATTCAAGAACTTGATCGACATATTCTATCTTATCAGGATAGCAACTTAATGACAGGTTAACCAATGATACTAGTAAGGCGGTGATATCCTGAATTGATAAATCGGGACGCGCCTATTTGAAGATTTATTCATCATAAGTGCTTGATAAATAATTTCAAACTAGAACCGATAGAATAAACTAACATATGATTAGTCTATACCTTAACCAAATCCACTATTTGACCCCAAAATACTTCAAATAATTTAACATCTTCCGGGATGCCACGGAACTTTCTCACTGCTGGTTCCTGTGTCGTTTGCTCATCGTCACTTTGTTGATTCTCTACTTTAGATTCACCATCTTGATTTACATCATCATCTTCATTTGACTCTTTTTCTTCCGTGAAACTATACTCCTCCTTGTCATCACTGTATCCACTTCTTCTCTGCTTTTTCAATTTTTCGGCCAAACGTCGAGCGGCTTCTTCTTCTTGTCGTTTAATCACTTCTGGTGGCTCCGAATCTGCTTCACGAGCAGCGTATGCGGCAAGGCGATCGATGAGTGCAATCACTATCTGTTTTATATTAACTTTTGAGTGTAATTGAGCAGTGGCGGACAAATATGGTCCAAGTGTCCGTAAATGAAAATCGTCATGAAATACCTGTTAAATGTGAAACAAATTATTTTTTGTATACGGAAAAGTGAATAAAATTTATAGTAAAATATCGACTCCTTACTTGTATGATGACTTCCATCAAATATTCCTGTGCAATGACATCTTTACAATTGATGACCTGCTCTAGAATGGCTGGTAATATGGTCTTTTGAATAATTTAGAAGCATAATGAAAAACTTCAAATATGAGGTGCAAAGAAGGAAAAAAAAACGAACTAAAGTAAAAAAAAAAACGTACCTGTTGATACAACGCCAAGTCAACGCCTTCCAGTTGGCTTAGACGAACCAAATTTGTTCCCACCAAAATCTTCAATTCTTTTCGTTCCGATTCTCTTTTCTCCCGATCCCTAGAGTGCCCCTGATGTTGAAGACGAACCCACAATTTATTCATCTCAATAAAATTGGTAAGAATAAATGCGATTGAATCTTGTAAGTTACCACGGGGGCTTTTTGATAAAAAGTATCAAACAGAGGATTACTATATTTAACAGACTTTAATATAGAAAAACAAAAAGATAATTCTCATACCCATTATCATTTCCGATAGGTAAAGAATCCCTTGTCATCCCACTCAGATAATGCCTCAGAAATAAACCACGTGTCGGATGTTGAACACCCCGAGACATTTCCATCATATCTTTCATAATTTCTTTGACCGGTGCATCCTTTTGAGACATGTAAACACTTCCAACAGTAATCATAAGATACAAACGTGGGATAATATTCCCAGCGTATTGTACCAACTCATAAAGGTCCGCGAGATGATTCTTTCCCGAAACATGCGCATCATTTAGGAAATTAGTAAGATGTCGCAGAGCATCAAAAATTGCCATGTCTTTACAAGTATAAGTTCAGGAATTTTTTAATTTATCACGAGTGTTTGACCGAGTCCACTCAAATAAGCAACTAAAGAAAAGGATACAAAGTTCATAATAGTTCTTTGGGGTCAACGCCGAGGTCCGCAATTCTGCTAGCATCGTTGAACAATGCTTTAGCCCATCCATGAGTTTTCCACTGTCCTTTTCAGATTAAACAAGATCGCGGTGAGAAATTATCACTCAATCCATGAAGTATTATTGAATGAGCATACCAAGCATTTTTTCATCTGAAAAGCCTGAACTTTAACGACATTTAGCGCTTCCTCAAGAAGCTTTGATTGGTCCTCGAGGGCTGCGGGAGCGGAATTCATATTGAAGCTGTAAGGAAATCAACGTAAATGACTACAGTTATATATCTAACTTTCCGATCATCATTGACATTTTTGGTATGTTACCATTGTTTTTTAAGCATCACACTTCAGAAATTAAAAAATTAAAGCACGTGACATTAATAAAAAGGACTCGCAAAATTTAAATGGGTATTTTAAAGAAATCGATATGGCTAGTGCCAGAATATCATGACCTCTTTCTAATTCGCGAATCTGATTTCTTGACATAATTTTTGATAATACTCCATATGAACATCGTCTTATTAAACTCAATCGTACATATGCATTATACATGTAGATTGTTCAGTTATGCGTATTCACACCAGTGAAACATTACATATACAAATACATCTAATTCCAAGAAATCTTACAGAGCATTTAGAGCATTTAAATCACGACCTCTTCCTAACGCCTTTCTCCAGCCGCGTTCTCCTGTCTATTGTTATTTTAACCTTACCGTGTCTCTAACATTTGGGTCGATCTAGTGTAAATCCGGTGGTATATTTTGATGCCGATGACTTTTTTTTCAAATTTCCGAAAAATCATGATCGTCTTTTTAATCACATGTTCCAAATTAAAAGAATAGATTTGGAATTGTAAAATGTGAATATAAGTATAACCGAAGTTCAATGTAAATCACTTGTCTAATCTCAAGGTTATCTTCTGTTAATAAATAATAAATGATAAAATAAAGAATAACCAAATTTTTACAAGCCTCTCACGGTGACAGACCGGTCCTAACCATAAATATATTAAGCGCAAATACATCTTTTTAACTTTTGCCTGTTATCTTAAATTTATCGGGATCCGGATTAATGGGTTCACCGGAAACCTCAAAAAACTAGGCAATTCCACCCGCCATATAAAATTGAACGTTCATATGCTAAAATATATGCGCAGTCCACGAACTACTGTTTGTGTCTTTGAAAATTCCATCCATCTTTGTAATTGTATTTAGATTATTGAAATGCTTTAATAACATAAACATCGGATATAATAATCTATTTTGGGAATGATTGCGTCTTTGATTTCTTTAAATAATCTTCTGCTATTTTTATTCTATCAAATAATGCCATATATTCAAGTGATTTCGTACTTGGATATTTCATCCTCATCCCCAAAGCCAGTTTATCCAACAATTTTTAATTCTTCATCATCCGATTCACATGTATTCTGAATTATTTTGAGCTTGTCGTAATTTAACTTCTCCGAAGGCAATAGAAGTTTTGGTAAGTCGTCCTCAATCGACCCTTCTTCGTTTCACTCGTTTTACTCTATATACAGTACATCAAAAGTTATAGATTGATAATATTTTTGGTTTAAATGAATTGGAATTGTAAAGAACACGTTTTGATGCAGATCATACATCCAACAGAAAAAATCTTTCCGAAGAAAGACCTTTAACATTATGCTTTTCGGCTTCATCTAGAATATCAAGACTTCCAAGAATGTAGATGCGCTTCATTGCAAGCTACTGTATTTGCATTTTAGATTATTGCTAAGTAAAAAACAATAATACGGATTTTCTGACTAGTCCTCTCCTGTTGATAGATAATGTTCTCCCAATAGGTCCCCAACCTATATGTAAAGCGTTTGGATTCCAGCTATTATGGATAGTATTTAATATGAGTTAACAAAAAAGGTAATGTTACTTGACGAAGTCGAACTTCAAACAAGAAGTCACGTTGGTGAGACTCAGAACATCGACTCACCAGAAATAGTACCTTGACCTTTAATGTATAGAATTTTTTTGGGACGAACATTTTTTCTCATTTCACAAACCTGGGTCCATGCACCACCATCTAGGCCTTTCCAATTTCCGTATTTACATCATGATTGAGAGTAAAAACAATATGCCAGTTTATTTGGCGATCTTTGAGGTATATGAAAAGAGCCGAAAGGAAAAAAATAAAATTTAAAGAACACAAGCAGAGCCAGAGAAGTTTGGATAACTTTAGGTCGTTGAAGTTTTTTTATATTTAAATTAGAACGAGTTGACATTTTATACTGTACATACGCGACTCTGCTAACCAATCGGCGATACGATACTTATCACGTGAAATTATTTGAATCAAATATTCAAATGAACAATTTTTAAAATACGGTATTCATTTAGTTTTAATGAAAATGAAAATATCATAAAACAATAATATAATATTCTAAATCTAAAATTATAAATTTATTGTATAATATTATTAATAACTAAGTAAATTTTGAAATATCTTAAATAAATAAATAAATTATAAAAATAATGCTGGTCTAAGTTTATCTTTTAAAACCATAAATCTTTTTATTTATTATCGTGGCACTTTTATAAGATGCTTCTTTTTTCTTTTTTTTTTTTTATATTAAACCTATTTGAAATGCATACGGAATCTGCTTATTATTTTTTTTTTAATATTGTTTGTTATATGGAATTTTTATTAAAACTAATTTTTTTATCTACGCGATGACATGTATACGTAATCGTAAAATCAACCAATTAGATGCTTATCGCGGCAATCCCACATTTCAAATTTTTTATAAATGCACACCGGTTCCGGTCCTTCTGGTCTCTTCGTTCCCACGAGATGCCCGCAAGTTCGTATAAACCTTTCGCCTTTTACTAAAGGTTTCCGTGTAGGCGTCTCATTGCAGTGGGATTTTGAAATTTTTGGAAATTCCTCAGATATTTTATTGTCTGAGGATTTTCTTTTTTATAATTTAAAGTGGGTTGGGTGTGAGTGAATTATTTTTATTTCTATTTTTTCCTTTTTTGAAAGGAAATTTCAAAGAGCCGTGTTATGTATATCATCTAGTTATCATTATTTTTGGTTTACGCTTTACGCAATGTATTATACCGATAAACATTAATAATTTAAACATGAGTTAAATAAAGAATTTTTTTTATTTTGTCTGAGAGCTCTAAACATGTGTCGCCCGTGTTGTTGACGTTGGACAACAAACAACGTTTTGCTAAAAAAAAAAATAGAAATATGCATGACAAATCATATTAAATCCACGTGATCTTAAATAAATTTACCAAAAAATCCAAGATTTTGTCAACTTGCACCTTTAAAACGATCGGAATGGAATCTAAATCACCACAAAAGTTTCTTGAAGCTCAGGGTGGCACTGCGGGTAACTCGAGTGATGACAACGTTGGATCTTTATCAGGTTCTCCAATATATCGACCAGTTGATAATACTTTTTCAGTCTCTTCTTCTCCTGAGGGTTCGCCCTATAGAATTAAAACACCTCGTCCCATCGTTGCTTATTCACCGCCTCACACTGAATACCCGTAAGAGAGTTAGTTTTCTAACTTTTATTATTTGCCTTGGAGTGAATAATTTAACTTATACGATTTTTTTTCTAGTGATCATAAGTTTCACGGTTGTTCCTCTATCCTCGATTATGAAATTAATGATAAGCTTGGTGAGGGAACATTTGGGTACGTTTACAACCAGTTAATTTGATTTACTAGACATATTAATGAAATTTTCACATTTTTAAATGGCAGCGAGGTGCACAAAGGTGTGCACAAGAAAACGCGTAAAATTGTCGCATTGAAAAGGATATTAATGCATAATGAAAAAGAGGGAATACCAATAACAGCCATCAGAGAAATAAAAATTCTAAGACAGCTTAATCATCCAAACGTAG